GATACACTAAAAATGAACACAAAGTGTGATAGATGCACTAAGTGAACAATTTTAGCCTACTTGCGAGTAGCAAATTCCAAAGCATTTTTCAAACCAAACGGATATGCAATGTTTATTTCCAAATTAGGCAATCTAGTCTATACTTTTTTGCTGTGCGCATAACATAGTAATTCTAGGCTAATAAATGGAATAAGAACACATAACGTTTTCAAAAACGGATATCACGGTTAGTAGAGGCCGGTCTTCGGACCGGGCGAAAGGGGGTGCTCATAGCTGACCTTCCCCGATCGTACCCAAGCTCCCGAGCCGAGACAACTCCGGTGATGACGGACATGTGGCCTTCGGCACCGAGTCAGGGTTTCCTAAATTTCCCCATTTAAAATATTTAGGTGGCGACTCTGTATCTGGCAAAGCAGTCCATGTTTGGCACTACTTTTTCAAAAATCTGTTTCTCAAAACGATTTGTCAGATTTGGACTCTTTGGTTCAGATTAAGAACCGCGACAACAAAAATCGCGAGTCCGAACTGTAGCAGCGAAGGTCCCCCCGCGGGCTTGCTACAGCAACTTAAGTGAAATTTTTTGGGGCTCTACAAGTATTCAATAATAAAATAAGTTAAACCCTTCAAATGCTGCAGGAGGTAATAATACAAAGACCCCAAGATAACCAATTTTTTCACACTGTTTTCGCCATTTCATTTCTATGAACATACCATTTTCCTTAAGGCTCTACATATTTTGACATACAATAAAAATAATCACAGAAAAGCAACAAATTTAAAGGAAATTACAATTTTTAGGGCTACTTGTCCAGACATATAATTGAAGAAAAAAACCATAAAGTGACTGATTTCAAGAAATAAATTGTCAATCTATCATAGACAATAGTTTGGATCTTGAACCATGCTTCCAACAAAACAAAAAAGAGACTAATAATTTATCAAAACAAGCACATTACATTCATAAACAAGTCTAAACATTCCCAGTTATTCAATAATTCCAACCTTCATTGACAAATGGGGGTTCCTTAACCTATGTTTAATGGGTCTGAATACTTTGAAATCAGCGCTGGAGACCACCATTTGTGTGGTTTGAGAAAATCCTTTATCGAAAAGCTAAGAAATGCAATCACAAACACTAGTACTACTTCCATTGTTGATTGTTGGGGCTATAACACGACTGCAAACCATGTGTTTGGTGATGGACCTGTGAAGTCTATCTCAGCTAGTTCAAAGTTCAATTGTGGATTGTTTTCTCAAAATAGTAGTGTTTTCTGTTGGGGTGATGAGACCAGTAGCAGAGTCATTAGCTTGATTCCTAAACAAATGAAGTTTCAGGAGAAGTGAATCTGTTGAGTACATAAAGTAGGTACATATTGTATCACTGACATTTGTTGTACAAAATTGTCCTCTTATTTAATCAATTTAAAATTAAAATTATCCACACTCATGAATGTCTCGACGCTCACTGAGGGAGAATTTGGGGGAGACAGAGAGAGAAAGAGAATCATTCAACATGAAAGAATATCAACTACTAGGAAACAATTTCAAATGCACAGGGCTTCCAAACAACTAAAGTAAATTTCAAATTTCTTCTATAAGTTTGTAGAGATGGACATAACTATTGGACAATAAACACACAAATCTTAAACACACAATTCATAACTTCGGGGGTTGTTATGAATTTTCGTCCCCGGAAAGCTCTTTTCGAGTAAGTTTTGGGCGGATTCGGCTCTAACTCTCTACCTACGGGTTCGAATGATGTTTTGTCAGTTGTCACAAGTCTTATTTGTCATGGGCAAACTATCCGTGAGAGTCACACGGTCGTTCGGGGGCTGTTTTGAATTTTCGCCCCCGAAACGCCCTTTTCTGACTAAGTTTTGGGAGGATTTGGCTCTAACTCTGTACCTACGGGTCTGAATTACGTTTTGTCAGTCGTCACAAGTCATATTTGACATGGGGAAGCTATCCGTGTCAGCCACACGGTCGTTCAAGGGCTATTTTCAATTTTTGCCCCAAAATGCCATTTTTAAGAGAATTTTCTATGACTTATCCTGACAGTGAGCTCAATGGATATGCAGATAACAGATAGTATTACAACAATATAATAGCACTACATTGGTGTTATTGGTGCCAAACAAAAGAATCTCCATTTGTCTATTGATCCAGCTACAAAGTGGCCATACTCAATAATATTTGGCACATTAAATTTCAACCTATTGACAAAATGAAAAATAAAAAAAATATATATATATTTTTTACCATAACTCTAATGAGATTACTCTAGCTCTAAAAGATCAGTGATAAAAGCATTCAAGGTAAAAATTGCATAACGGGTACTATGATCGGCCCTCTTTACCTACACATATTTTAATTCTTCAATTGCATGATTTTTTCTTGCCCTCATGCTTAACAACAAAGAGATAGTATTGTTTAGTGAATAAGTGTTAGTATGATACAAATGAAATTCTTCTAACCAAATACGACGATGCCCGTCTGCTCCAACAATGTTGAGAGTCGTAAAACCACAGAGTTCAAATGATTTAGTTGTTCTTGTTGCGCCTTCCTTATTTTTTTTCCCTCTTCTACTTCTTTCATCAACTCCTCTCTCTTCCTCATCATCTCTTCGCTTCTTTCTTCTTCATCAAATTTTCTTGAAGAACGTCAATCTCAGATTTCATTGCCTCCATTTGTTTGTCACGAGATCGTGCCACACTATCAGATGGCGAATGGGGTTGTGGGCCTATCTCAAATCCATGCAAGTAATTCTTTCTCTGTCCAAGCACTTGCTGCGAGAGTTTCTCATGTGTCAATGGGATCCCCGCATTTGTGGCTGTCGCTTGTAGATTGACCATCGCATCCTGTCATTACCAAAAAAAGTAGACTATTCAACAAAGGCACAAAGAATCACATGCAATTTTGTGATAAGATAGGCATCAATATTACGACGGTAGGCCAAAAAAGTTTACACCTTACATGTAGCTCACCACATTTGGGATCAATCCATTCGTTTGTTTTCTTCGATTTGTGTGATTTGGAATAAAATTCCGAAAAATCCAACTCCCCATTTTCATTTACCTATTAGTTTCAAATAACAAAATTAATTCGTCGCAATAATAACCATGACTTTGATCTTACATATATAAGTGATGACAAATATGTTCCAAATGTATGTAACTCACCATGAGCGACATTGCTATTGGAAAGAAGCGAGATCCACCGGTGTGATTGTATGGTAGCAAACTCCGGTTTGCTTTACCAACTTTAGAGCATTTCTACAAAAAAGAATTATTCAAGAATTAGTACATATCAATGCATAATACACAAATAAAGCAATAGAGTCGTTTATATTTGTTTGTTACCAAATGAGATTCATCCTTCTAAGCCACATCATGTGTTTCCAATCATCCAAGCAAACTCCTTTAGGCGGATGACTATATGGGTCATCAACACCCACTTCTACAAGTTTTTTGTAGTGTTGCTTCAGGGTGTACCTCCAATCCTTGTACAAGAGATACGCCTTCGTATCGACAATCTCTTGAGCTTATTGATCAGTATGGAAATCCTTACCAATTTCAAACGTGTCCTGTAAGCATAAGTGTGTGTCGTATTACAGAAATAGAATGTAGCAATTGGAACTTTACATAATGAAGACATTTAGTTTAAGGTCCAAAATTACTAGCACAACTTGTACTACAGCATCTTTGATACTCTGATCAATTTTCTTCCATGACTTCACTCCCTTTAGGGGGCACAACCGCCTTATCTGCAAGCGCAACTCATTTGTGGTAGGCGTGACATTCCCTCCAGTGAGTGTATTAAGTATGCGATTGACATATATATGTAGTTTCTCCCCTTTTTTTCTCGCAAGCCTTTTGTGCACTCCTTTTCCGACTGTAAGACCGCATACACGATTTGACGTACTTTTCCCTGGTCAAGGAGGGGCATCAAGTGTAAGGCCTTCACATGCAATTAGTGCCCCAAACATATTATCAACAATAATTAATGTTAAATTTAACAATCATCCAAGCAAATTTTGTAAGGAATTATAATTTTTTAATACATGCAAGAAATTGTTCTTCTAGATGAAGAAAAATCCTTTGCTTAAGTCAAGTAAAGTGATCTTCAGGGGCTGAAACACACCTACAAAACTACCAAGAAGAAGAATAAACATTGTAGTCTGTAGTCAGTCAACCCTGAAGATGCAACAAAAACGTACAATGGTCTTACCTATGCCGTGCGCCTGTGTCTCTTCCACAAATGTTTGTGTGTCATCCGACGGTTGTGTCTCATCGGATAAAGTCTATGGTGTGACAATGATAGGTGCAAATGTTCCTGAGGGTGATACTATGGGGTCAGTTACTGTTTTCTTACGCCGCTCTGTTTTCGTCCCAAGAACCATGCTAGTACCTGCAAAGTAGCTGCAAACATGATATATTAAGTAAACGCATCACATGCATCATCGATATTATGACCAATATGGATTGATTACAGGTGCTCAAGTATTCACAAAATTACAACAAGACAACAATAGGAAACTAATTGATAATGATTGTCAAATAAAAGCGATATACATAAACCAATGTTAAGCATAAATGTCAAATGAGGAGGTTCATCAATTTAACAGGTTCAACATTGCGAAAAAGTTTACAATATAGCTCAGCATGATGACATGAAGAACAATATAAACAAAAGGACTAAAATCTTATCTAATTACATAACACATAAAGAAGGGGAATCTCCTCCATCTCTTTCCCCATTACATCAACAAAACGACAAAAAGACAAAACAACAACTACCAAGAACACACATCAAAATTTAGAACCCATACATCAAGACTCTATCACACATACAAATTTAGAACCCATACATCAACACTCTATGTCCATATCTGAATCAAAATCACTGTCAAGCTCATCTTTTTCTTCATTGTCACCCTCCATTGTCGGTTCATCTTCATCATCACATATGAAGTCATCATCCATACCAACAAGGGTTGTACATAGTTATCAGACTGCAAAACTTCCATTAGAATAATTTTAGCGTCAATATCATCTCGACGCAACACCATATCGTCATCCATAGGCTCAGTTGGTACAACATTAGTGCTTTCATCTTGTTGAAACACATTATCAGGTTGTGGCACATCCACCTCGGGCACATCCCAAATTCTTCGTTGTTGAAAATTTTCTACTACTCTCCAATTGGCACCTAACTTCGTATCATGCACGTAGAAAACTTGTTGCACTTGACTTGGTAACACAAACGGGTCATCTTTATACCATCGACTTCGTATATTAATAGTAGTGAAATGTGATTCGACACGCAAAGTTCTGTTACTACTGGTGTTATACCATTCACATTGGAATAAAACAACACAGTGCCTAAACAAATATGTTATTTCCCAAACTTTACAAATGTAGCCGTAGAACTTTATGAGTTGGCCTTCATGGTCCCCTTCCACTACCAATCCACTATTTTGAGTTTTACGACGGTTGTCACGGTCATGAGCATGGAATCGGACGCCATTACAAATGCATCCCGAATATGTGTTCACTAAGCTGTTAGGACCATTTGCCAATGACCACATCTCATCAGTTGCTTCAGGTGACTTGTTGTGCCGCAATTGGTTCATCTACATAAGAAAAAATTGTCATGTTATTTTTGACATAACTTAAGTTGATGTGTAAACTACACTATAAGGAATTTTAGCATATGCAATCTTTGAACCATTTAGGAAATTCTTTGCATTGTATCTTGGCAATGTCGCATGCACTTCCATATTATTGCAACAACATCTTGTGTTCCCTATGTAGGACAATATAATTCATAAGTAATTTGAAGAATGATTACGAAAAAAAAAGAAGCATATAGGTCACATATAGTACGTCACAGGTTCGACGCGTACTCTAGATTTTCTTCCACTTCTAAGTTGTTGTGTAGGACAAACCAATGAGCCCTTTCACGGTTAGCTATAGACACATCAGTTTCCCTTGTTAGTAGACCAAATGGACGAACATTTTGAGTGAAAATCGCCAACCCTAGGCCGTTGTCACCCCCGTCATAGTTTCGTTCTTCCCGATTAAGCATCGTTTCAACGCCGTCTAAATACATTGAACAAAACGTCGTACACTCTTTTGAAATGTAAGCCTCCGCAATGGAACCTTCTGGCCGAGCTTTATTGCGAACAAATCCTTTCAGAAGTCCGAGCATCCTACATGCCAATATGATTTGAATGTTAATGTTTACATTATATACTATATGTAAATAGGGATGTTCGGGAACTTGTCATATTACCTCTCAATAGGATACATCCATCAATATTGCACAGGCCCTCCAAGCATAGCCTCGTGAGGCAAATGAATTGCCAAGTGGACTATGACATCAAAAAACACAAGAGGAAAAATCTTCTCAAGCTTACAAAGTATAAGTACGATTTGTTCCTCTATTTTCTCCAAATCAGTCACCCTCAATGTCTTTGAGCACAACTGTTTGAAAAAAATTTCCAACTCAAAAAGTGTGGTCCCAATCTCCTTGGAAAGGTATCCATGCATCCCAATTGGAAGTAGTCATTGTAGAAGGACATGACAGTCATGAGTTTTGAGGCCAACTAATTTTCCACCTTGAGTGGTGACACTGTTGGATATATTTGCTGCATAGCCATCAGCGTACTTAATCGATTTCAAGAAATCACAAAAACCTTGTCGCTATACCAGGGACAATGTGTACAATGCCGAAGGCTTCTCAAATGAGCCATTGGAACGCCTCTTCAAGTGTAACTCCTTTCGTATCCGCATGTCTGCTAGATCTAAGCGGGCTTTATCTATGTCCTTGTTCTTGTCATCAATGCTTAGTAGTGTCCCAACCAAATTATCACATATATTCTTCTCTATGTGCATGACATCAAGGTTGTGTCGAAGCTTCAGCGTTTTCTAATAGGGTAGGTCGAACATAATGCTTCTTTTTGTCCAATTAGAAGGTGGACTTTCACTCCGTTGTCTTTTTCGGTTGTTTAGATGCTTGCCATACGGCCTATATGTTCCCAAATCAATTTGCTGCAGTATTTGTTCTCCCAACAACTCCACAGGTTTGGACTGATGCTCGTTCTGACCATTAAAGAGCTTACCTCTTCGCCAAATATGGTTCTTGGGCAAGTGGCGGCGGCCACCCATATACTCTATCTTACTTCGCAGACGCTAAGATGATGCGTCCATGTTACAATTAGGGCAAGCCAAGTAACCTTTTGTGGTCCAACCAGAGAGGGTACCATATGCGGGGAAGTCATTGATGGCCCTCATGACTGCTGGATGCATTGTAAATATTTGACTGATTGTGGCATCATATGTTTGCACACCATGCTCCCACAAATTCTTTAACTCATCCACTAATGGTTGCAAGTAAATATCGATGTCTCTTCCAGGAGAAGATGGACCAAGAATAAGCATTGACATCATTAGATATGGCTTTTTCATACGCTTCCACAGGGAAAGATTGTAAGGCATTAACAGTATGGGCCACATGCTGTACGATGTGCTCATATTTCCAAACGGATTGAAACCATTCGTGGCAAGCCCTAACCTTACATGTTGGGGTTCCAGAGAAAACGTAGGATGCTGTATATCAAAGTCCTTCCATGCCCGACCATCGACTAGATGCCTTAACACTCCATCATCCACACGCTTCTCTTTGTGCCATCTCATATCTGCAGCGATTTTTTTCAACATGTACAATCTCTTCAACCTCGATGTCAAAGGAAAGTACTTCAATATTTTGTGAGGAATCTTTTTACCACTCTGATTGTTGAACTTGTATCTAGACTCCTTACATGTAGGCAAATTCTCCAGTTTTGCATTATCCTTCCAAAACAAAATACAATCATTCTTGCATGCATGAATGGCCTCATATCCCAAACCCAATTCACGTAAGAACTTTTTTGCTTCATAAAGGGTCCGCGGAACTATTTCATCACTCTTTGGGAGAATGTCTTTGAAAACTTGCATAACCATATCGAAAGATTTGTTGCTCCATTTATTGTACACCTTAATATGAAGCATCTTAATAACGAAGGACAACACGGAAAACTTTCCACACTCCGGGTACACTTTGCGTCAAGCATCATCAAACAACCTAATGAACTTCAGCAAATTTTCTCTCTTTGAGCTATTAGGTTCTTCGTCGATATGATCATCCATGAGGCCACTCATGTAAATCTCTTCCAACATAGTAGGCAACTCGCCC